GCTATGTTCAGTCTTATTTATGAGAATGAAAAGCGTGCATTCTGGAAGGGTTTTAAATCTTGGTGCCCAGGGAGTGAGATGCTGGTCATCCCTGGTGGTACCTTCTTTTCTCCAGCCAGGCATTTAGCACAGTTATTTAAAGTCCTGTGGCATCTCCAAGCCCTCTGATAGTAAATATGAGGTGAAAATGGATTAATGCTTAAAAAATGGGAAAAAAGACCTGAATATACTTTTGACTTTCATCCAGTAGTGTAGGATCCAACCAGTCAGGCATCTGGATGTTCTTAAACCTATGACGAAAGACTGAGTCTTTTTTAGAGCAGAATGGGGTTTAGGTGTTTAGACCTTAAGAATAATGGAAATTAAAAGTCAGGTTCTCATCTGGCATGATGAAGATTCAGCTTCAGGGTTTTCAAAGACACGGTGCACATTTGCACGTGAAAGAAGTCTCGGTTGTGGCCAAATCCTGTGTGGAAAGGAAGGAGGAAGGAAAGGTGAGCCAGAAGCTGCTCCTGGTTGGATGCCCTTTACAATCTCTGCAACGAGTTGTGGTAGAAAATGCTTGCAAAGGATGTTCTAAAGTACCACTTACACCCTGCTTTCGTGGTGGAGACTCAACAGAGCTGTTGTGCTGTCAAGCCCTGATGATTAAATTACTTTCTCCATCCCGTCTTCCTCAGGTTCACCTTATTGACTTGACATTTCAGCTCAATTATTTGCTCTTCTTCACACCCTCCTGGTGCCACTTGTCATTCGCTCTCTATTCAGGCCAGACTGGCTGGCCAGAGGAATGCATGCAGGGTGTTTGCTATGGCTATTGCAGGTGGAGGTAACCCTTTAGGTTCCTCTGCATATGGTGATCTGGCCCTTGCTGGATGTGCAGGAAGGATGTTCCTCTTAAATTTCTGTCAGTGGGGCAGAAAACCTTCCTGGGGTTGGCTTCCCTCTGGGGTGAGCATCTCCAAGGCTTCTCCAAGGGTTGCAGCCCTCTGTGCAAGCTCTTCCTGATGTGCAAGCGTGAGCTACTTCTTGGGATGTTCCCATGCTCTTCCAAGATGTAAGGAGCTTTCTCCCTGATGCTCAGCATGGGTGAGGGTCCCAGGACATAGCTGCAGAGTTTCTCTTTCTCTGCTTCCATCTGGGACTTTGCTTTGAAAATAGCAAATATGTTAACACCCCCAGAGTGTGAGCACCAGGTCCAGGGAGGGGATCCTGCCCCTCTGCTGTGCTCTGGGGAGATCCCCCCTGCAGTCCTGATCCAGCTCTGGGGCAGCAGCACAAGAGGGACGTGGAGCTGTTGGAGCGAGGCCAGAGGAGGCCATGGAGATGCTGCAAGGGCTGGAGCAGCTCTGCTCTGGAGCCAGGCTGAGAGAGCTGGGCTGGGGCAGCCTGGACAAGAGAAGGCTCCTGAAGGGGAGACCTGAGAGCAGCTCCAGTGCCTGAAGGGGCTGCAGGAAAGCTGGAGAGAGGCTTGGGACAAGGGATGTAGGGACAGGCCAAGGGGAATGGCTTGAACCTGCCCGAGGGGAGACTGAGATGAGCTCTTAGGCAGAAGCTCTTCCCTGGGAGGGTGCTGAGGCGCTGGCACAGGGTGCCCAGAGAAGCTGTGGCTGCCCCATCCCTGGCAGTGCTCAAGGCCAGGTTGGACACAGGGGCTTGGAGCAAGCTGCTCTAGTGGAAGGGGTCCCTGCCTGTGGCAGGGGTTGGAGCTGGATGAGCTTTAAGGTCCCTTCCAACCCAAACCAGGCTGGGATTCTATGAAAACTACTTGGTCTTAGCAAAATCTCAGGTGTCTGTTGGAAGTAATGAAGAAAAATCACAGTCAGGTAGCAACGTGCTTCCCACTGCGGTTGGGGATGAGGAATTGGCACGAGCAGTGTTTTAAATAACCAAATGTGTCAGAAGGTGCCCAAGTAAATGATGAAAAGCAAAAATAACCCTATGGCTCTGCTAAACTTTATGGTTGCCATGTTTCATCTTGATTTTAGCAAAGATGTTTGTTTGGAGGTGAGTAATGAATGCTCCTGGAGCCTGGGAGCGGCTGTGAGCAGCGGAGATGAAGTACCCTGCCCCGAAATGCATGGGTCTGCTCTTTTTGTTTTAAATAAGAAATGCTTTTTTTCCCCTCCTGCTGAAGATGAATGTGGCCTGAAGATCCAAAACAACTTTGCAAAGCTGGTAAAAACCCTTCCCAGCACATACATCAAACATCTACAATGCGGGGATAAAACACTGGCACACATTGCCCAGGGAGGTGGTGGATGCGCCATCCCTGGGGATATTCAAGGTCTGGCTGGATGTGGTTCTAGGCAGCCTGATCTAGGGGAAGATGCCCTTGCTCATTGCAGGGGTTGGACTGGATGAGCTTTGAAGGTCCCTTCCAGCCCAGACTGTTCTGTGATTCTGTGCTTGGCTTATTTGTCCTTGCTGCAGTGATGAGACTTGTGATGCTCAGCTTGGAGCACTGTGTAACCCCCTCGCTGTAATCCCAGTCTAAATACAGTTTGTGAAGTGAGCTCTCCCAAGCCACTCCTTGTTTTCAAGAAGGCATGTTAAAGCCTTTTGTGTGCATCTGAACACATAATCTCCTGCAGAAGCTGTTTTCAGGTAGCACCATTATCCAGAAATACAGGATATATATGCAAGCATCAAATCATTCCCTGCAGCATCAGCTGGTAGGTTTGTATGAGTCTGTGCTCTTGTGCCAAAGGATTTCCCCATGTTTATGGCTTTAATACATGTTGCAGACCTGTGCCAATCTTACCTGCCAAATTTTACCTACCCTAATCTTACCTGCCGTCCATTTTGGATGGCACACAGCAAGACTAGAGGAATGAGTGGTTGGAAATAGGTTGAAAAATAGATGTCCCCATGTGTTCAGTGCCCCTAAATGATGCTTGCGGTTACATCACTGGGAGTTGGCTCTTCTAACCCCTGAGACTTGCTGCCGTGATGCAAAATTAAGTCAGTGAGAATAGAAGAAACCTCTTTTGTAGGTGCTGTGAGGGATGGTCTGAGTTTGTTTAATGGCTTTAGTGGTCCTTTGGGTTTTCTGAAGTGCTTCACTAAACACAGTGTGCTTGCTCCTCTGGAGGACCAGATTTCTACAGGGCAGAGCATCATCCTCTGGCCGTCCTGGGATGGGCCAGTCAGCACCTCTTGGAAGGGTCTGTCCCCTCATGGTGTCTCAAGAATCTATAAGTCTTTATGGAGGACCTCAGTTCTCCATCAGCTTCCCTCTCTTCTTGTAGCAGCTCTCCTGGTTGCTGATGGTTTAACCAGGTCAGGGTGTAGATACCTGAGCCTGCTTATGGCCTTTCACAGGAGATAGAGCTTTCTGAGGACCCACCTCCTTTTTTCCTGTGTCACAGCCTATCTCTACCCCCACCATCATTCCTTTTCTCAATATGACTCTTCTTAAAACATCCTCAGTCCTTAGGGGCATCCTGGGCTTCCTACCTGACAGTTCAGTTGTGTCAATGCAGGGCTGAAATTGAAAACCAGCTGTTTCAGAGTTCATAGTTCAGAAATTCAAGCATTTAAATTAAGTCATCTGTCCTGATTACTCTTTTCTTGCCTTGCAGTGGTTTCTCAATAGGGAAATGGAAGGCTTACCTGGGGTAAATCTTCTTGCTGCAAACTGTCCCTGTGGTTTATGGCTTGAGATTTCAGTTATTCCCAAAAATGGAAGATGCCCATCATGGCTAAGAGAAAATGTGTCAGAAATTGTTAGCTGACGCTGTTCTGAAATTCCTTTATATCTGAAACTCAGCACTTTGCATACTTCCATTATCGATGTGAGCGTTTTGAGGGATTTAAGTAGTTTCTGCCTGTGTGGCAGCCTCAGCTGCGGCTTGCTCCCTGTCAGTCCGCTGTTTAATTGCCTCCTACTAGGGATAGACTGGGAGAAGGCTCCAAGGTCTCCCCTTGAGGAGCCTTCTCTTGTCCAGGCTGCCCCAGCCCAGCTCTCTCAGCCTGGCTCCAGAGCAGAGCTGCTCCAGCCCTCGCAGCATCTCCATGGCCTCCTCTGGCCTCGCTCCAACAGCTCCACGTCCCTCTTGTGCTGCTGCCCCAGAGCTGGATCAGGACTGCAGGGGGGGTCTCCCCAGAGCACAGCAGAGGGGCAGGATCCCCTCCCTGAGCTGCTGCTCACGCTCTGGGGGTGCACCCCAGCACATGGGGGGGGTTCTGGGCTCAAGCGCTCACTGAAGCTGGGTCATGGGGAGCTTCTCCTCACCCAACACCCCCAAGTCCTTCTCAAGGCTGCAAACCACATTCCCTGTGATGCAGGCGGGTGCAGGATGCATCCAGGTTCTTGAGGTTATTCCCCACTACCCAGACCATTGGAGCAATCCTTTCCATGTCAATACAAATGACTTCTTCAGTCACCTCCTTGCTGTGATGCTTCCTTCTCCTTAGTCCCTGTTGGCATCTGGAAGGTGCCACTTGGTGCTGGAAGGGCTGAACAGTATCCTCATACTGGTGTCACTGTTGTCACAGCAGTGTGGCCCCAGCTCTCTCCTCCCTTGTAGGCAAGGCTAAACCTTGAACTATGAGCCTCTGCTGTTGGAAAGTGAATTTGAAACTCCTGTATGGAATATATGTGGACGCTGGTTCAGTTGTAGACTGGAGTTTTGAATTGCCATCAGCACTGTTTTGATCTCTCAACAAGGTTACTTCAGGCGATCTATGTGGGATGTTGAATAAACCCATGGTGTGTTGTCTTGCTTATGTTAGGATGCGATAACGAGAGATGCCTAGAGCTCTAAACACCAGGGTTCTCCTGTATTTGAGCTACTCCTTGGCACTCTAGGCACAAGGTCTAATCCTACTAGTAGCAATGGAAGATGATTCCCTTTAAGGACGGTGATTGCAAGAGTGAAGGTTCCATAGCAGATGGGGCGTGTGGAAGGTGTTGGACTGGTATATCCTGGTCTGGAGGAGTTCCTCCTGTCCATCGTGCTTGATGGCTTTAATACAAGCGTCTCTTTGCTCCGCAGGGGAAGGTGGCACAGACGGCGTGCATGTCGGCGTGCAAGCACCTCTCCACCTCGCTGATGCAGCTGCTGCTGGAGGCCGAAGTGCGGCAGCTGACCCTGGGCGCCCTGCAGCAGTTCAACCTGGACGTGGAGGAGTGCGAACGTAAGATACCCAAAGCATCTCCTTTTCCTTATTCCACTTTGCTCATGTGTGTGTGTGTGTCAGGACCCAAGCCCCAGGGCTCTTAGCGATGCCAAGTATTTGGGGCTGGTGAACCTCTGCAAAGGTCTCTGGTACTGTGCACAGTGACACTTGGTGATGTCTTCGGGACAGAGTAGCCCCGTCAATTCTAAGAGATGAAAGCTTTACTCTTGCTTTTTCTCTGTAACACAGCCTTCATGCTTGTATAGAATAGAATCATAGACTCAACCAGGTTGGAAAATACCTTTAAGATCATCAAGTCCGACCTTTATCCCAGCACTGCCAAGGCCACCACTGACCCATGTCACTGAGGGCCTTGGTTTTGAACACTTGCAGGGACAGTGACTCCAGCACTGCCCTGGGCAGCCTGTATCAATGCCTGAGCACCCTTTTGTTGAAGAAGCTTTTCCTAGTATCCAACCTTAACTTCCCCTGGCACAGCTTGAGGCCAGAAGAACATTTCCAGACCATCCCTGCTTTTTGAGATGGAGCATTATAAAAGTAGGAATGGGTGAAACATGCGGAGGACTAACAAAAATCCCCTTTGCTTATGCCTCTTTCTGAAAACAGTGATTGGGCTTCTGTTCCTAAGAAGTTCTGGTCCTCTCCTGACCTCAGCTGTTTGTCTTCTCTGTCTGCTGCAGGGAATTCTTACAGAATCATAGAACCATAGAATAGTTTGGGCTGGAAAGGACCTTAAGCTCATCCAGTTCCAACCCCTTGCCATGGGCAGAGACACCTCACACTAAACCATGGCACCCAAGGCTCTGTCCAGCCTGCACTTGGACACCGCCAGGAATGGAGAAATTCTTTCTCAAAGCAAACTCTTATTGCAAACTTACTGTTATGGAGATGTCTTGTGCTAAAATGACTACATCCTTTCAGAGGTGTGCATGGAGCATTGTGGTGCCAGCACCACGGCTTTGCTCTCAGCCCTGCTCTTTTCTGCTCATCTATCTTGCACCTGAATTAGCTCTGGAATCCGAAGATTTCCCTCAAGTCGCTTTTTATCCTCCTCAATAAAAGGGCTAAAAACATACAGGATGAACCTGACGACTAGTTTAATAATTAAGCTAAAGCAAGGTGAACACATTTCTGCACAGGAACCTCTCTCCCTATGAGTAGGATGGATTTGCTATTGGCATTAATGTTAGGATGGAATAGTGACCACAGCTATGGAAAACACAGAACTCGACAGAGTTGATGAAGAGTTCATAAAATCCTTGATAAATTATTTTGGAGGAAGTGGTGGTTTTTTTTCCCCAAATATCTGCCTTTCTCTCAGTTGAGCTGCAGCTCGGGATGTATCTTGCCTAAATAGCAGTGAGTTTGCTTTTCCTGTCTCTGATAACCTGGTCTCCTGGAAGGTGTCCCTGCCCATCGCAGGGGTTGGAACCTGATAATCTTAAGGTCCTTTCCAACCCAAACCATTGATTCTGTGATTCTGTAACTCAGTGAAATCAGTTGTGTTGGTTTCTTCATCATCTGTCACTTAACAATCTCAAAAGATATTCTTCCACTCTTTATAAAAGGTGTTACTGGTTGTGTTTTAGTTCAGCTGCACCCATCAAGAGTGAGATGAACTTTATACCTGAGAGAGGTCACTCAGTAAGGATTTTGGTGTTTGCAAGAAGTATATTTAAATTTTTCATGGCTTTTGCCAGTTTCCAGCACTCAGCTGAATAGCCTGGGAGAAGGTTCCCTGTTTAATCATAGAATTCCAGGCTGGTTTATGTTGGAAGGGACCTTAAAGCTCATCCAGTTCCAGCCCCATGCCATGGGCAGGGACACCTTCCACTAGAGCAGCTTGCTCCTCAATGCATCACATCCAAAAGCTGCAGCTATACCCTATGTTGCAGCACAAGCAGTGCCTTATTTTACTGTCAGCAACACCTTCATCCCTAAATTCTTGCTGTCTAATTTGTGTCCCATCAACGTGTTGGGGCTGCAGCAGTCACAGCTGTGTTCCCAGTCAGTGTCCAGAGGGCCAGGCGATGTTCCTGAGGATAATGGGAAGCATTTGTCATTAATAATAGCTTCCTTCTTTTTCTTTTGGCTGCCAATAGCCTTGCAACCCTGCAGTTTTCTGCCCCATCCGTTAACGTGGGTCACTAAGCAGCATCTCTTCCCTGAAAGCCCTTGATGGACAAGTAAAAGGGATGGCATTTAATATCAGGTTTAAAAGCATGGTTCCTTAAATTCCAAGTGTTTTGTGAGACAAAACCAGGAGCACTCAGACACTCAAGAGCAGGTGACGCCAACCTGAGCATTGGGCAGGCGACCTGCTCCCCCCACAGCCCCTTCCCAAGGTGCCGTCACAGGCAGGGAATGGAGATGGATGCCGGTGCTGTAGCCTTCCTATCCATCACTGTCAGCCCCTAGATCAGGAAGCCCAGACACAGTCTTTTACTTCCCTTTTTGGCAACAAAACCACGTTCCCTCATCCCTGTGGGTTTCTCTGGTGGCTTTGCTGACACTAGGAATAATTGGAGGTCTATTTTACAGAAGCAGTGCATAAAGATTTTTTGTTTTAGGAAAAGCCAATCCCAAGAGTGAACTGGTGTAGTCACAAAATATTCCCATTTTTGAGGTTTTTATTTAGTTTTTTGTGTATTTGTTTTTTTTTATCCTTCACCTGAAAGCCTAGGTATGCATCTCGGCATCCTTATTGTACCAGTTGCATATTCAATTTTATGTCTTTGCCTCCAGCCCTTTTTCTCTCCCCAGGCACCAGAGCCTTCCCTACTTTAGCAGCTTTATCATCAACTGATTGTGTTAAAATAGGATTTTATAGCTGGTTAGAGCACTTCTAGTGAGGTCTGATGTGGGAACAGGGCTTCAGAGTTTCAATCTTGGAGTTTATTAGGCTTTTCTTTTAATCTCTTGTGAATGCCAAAGGTGTAAGCTGGTTCAGAGAGTGGTGAGGCAAATATACAAATTAATTAATTTGTATATTAAGCATGGTTTGAGGGTGATGCAGATATGAAGATAGGCTGAGGAAGTTGGGGCTGTTCAGCCTGGAGAAGAGAAGCTGCGTGGAGACCTCAGAGCAGCTTCCAGTATCTGAAGGGGGCCTATAGGGATGCTGGGGAGACACTATTCATTACACCTAATAGGACAAGGTGTAACAGGTTAAAACTTAAAACAGGAAGTTTAGATTGGATCTAAGGAGGAAATTCTTTCCTGTGAGGGTGCTGAGGCACTGGAATGGGTTGCCCAGGGAAGCTGTGAATGCTCCATCCCTGGCAGTGTTCAAGACCAGGTTGGACGAAGCCTTGGGTGCCATAGTTTGGTGTGAGGTGTCCCTGCCCCTGGCAGGGGGGTTGGAACTGGATGATCTTAAGGTCCTTTCCAACCCTCCCCGTTCTATGATTCTATGATTACCCCAGTGGTAAGACCAAGGGGCTTGAAGAGATGCAAGGCCCTGGTCCTGTCCAGGGAGGTGGATAGCCTCTTGTTTTGTCCCAGCCAAAACCTGTTTCCCAAGATGCATATTAGAGGCCTGAAAGTCTTTTTATGCAGCTTTACAGCAGCATGTGTGTGTGTGGATGGCACGGCTGGCATCCAGGGAAGGGCAAAAGTCATTTTTAAATGGCCTGTTGTTGGCCAGGTATTAGTTGTAACTCTCATTCTTATTGCTTGGCTCCACATAGCTCTTTTTTATGCAGTCAAGAGAGATTCTCTTACCTCCTTTTTAAACCTGAAGTGAAATAAGGCATCGAGGTTAAATGAACTGCCCAGCAAGACACAGTGGGACACATCTAATTATGTCTCAATTTAGGAAGGAATTCTGGCTCCAGCCCAGAAAACCAGCTTGAAAAGAGGAAAAAAAACAGCTCTAGAGAGGAAAAAACCACCCTACCACAAATATTGCTGTGAACCTGTAAATAGAGGGGGTGATGCTTTTTTCAGACCAGGCATTTGCTTTATGAAATGAGTTTGCTGTCTTCCAGAATCCATCTGTAACCCAAGATATAACAGCACATGGAACGTGCTTTTTGTAATTGCTACGTGCCTTGTAACCCAGTTCCCTGCCCTGCTCATTTTGGGGACCCCCTGGTGCTGGTTTATAGATCATTTTTCCGTATCTCCTGTACCTCAGAGGTAGTGGGAATCGAGTGTAACAACCCAGATTTGGAGATTACAACTGAAAAGGCAACAAAAAAGGGGGCTGCTCTCGCTCCTACAAAAGCATTTCCCATCTCTGTAACCGGTTCCAGCAGTGGTTGAGGCAGATTGTTTTTACAATCCTTAGATCATAAAATAAGCAGCTCCCTAATCTCCAAAGTCTTTTAACCGCTGCTTTATGAGAAATTAAAAGCACTATAAAAATTATATTTCAAATTGCATTCAACTCCCCATTTTCAGTCAGAGCGCTCCTGGGGGCAGGCGGGAGGAAACCCAGATGCCTGCGCCGTTTGAGGGGTCCTCCATCCCAGCACACAAGCGTGCCAAAATGTGCTGATACAGGTCCTGGCACAGCTGTTTCCACCTCCCTCTTGGCCACGTTATCTGGCTCTGAGGACTTTCCACGTGGAAATCCAGTTATTTTGTGTAGGATGCTGGGGTTTGCCCTCCACACTGGAGGGGTCCTCTCCCTTGAGGACAGGCTGGGCTTCACACCCTGTGAAGGGTTGCCTGATGCTCTTCCAACCTGCATCCCACTGGGAATTAGCATGCTCAACACTAGAGGTGAGCAAAGAGGTTTTGAGGACAAACCCCCCTGATTTTAGGATGTTGCATTGTGGGCTTGCTGATATCCATCCTGCCACAATGCATTAGCAAAAGCTTGTGTTTTGGAGGAGAAAAGGGGATGTTGCACTGAACAAAGGGAAGGGGTTAAGCAGATCACATCAGGAGAGAAAAGTCCACGCCACCGATGCTGATCTCTCGATGCACCTCCAGTGCCATGATCAGTTTTGAGTCCCTCGCTCCAAGGCAGAAATTGAGTTGCTGGAGCA